GTGGATTCGTCGCTGTGCGAGAGCGAGCGTTGCTGGGGGTAGTGTTGGGGAGGGTGTGAGAGCGTAGGGTGCGTGTTGTTGCTGTTGAGTGTTGCGGATTGTTGCGCGCTAGGAGAGGCGGGCGGCGAGTGGTGGTGCCCGTCACCGTGGCGAGAAGAGTTAGGAGAGTTGTAGCTTTCATTTTGGCAACTTTTATTAAGGTGGATGAATGAATGAATGTATGGATGGACACCGAAAAGAGTGTGTGTTGAAATCCCAAGTTTGGCAACGTCGTGAGAGACGGGGAGGAAGTCTGGAGGTTCGAAAAGAAAGAGAGCCTGTCCGTCCGATGGAGGGGGAAAAGAGTGAATGCCCAAAAGGAGAGAGATCGTCCGTTTCGCCGATCCCAGGAAACAAGAATACCCAAAGCCAAACAAGAATGGCGGTTAAAGCCCCTTATAAGTCCCCGCTTAAGGCAGACGCAAACCGAAAGAATCCCACCCTGAACCAATCATCCCGATCCCAGTCGCGGCAAGCGTCAGGTACCAGAAGCACAGCATCCAATCCAACTTCGCGAACCCACGGTCCAGAACAGATGGAACCAAGCAGAGGACAGGTTGTGTCAACACCCATGCAGCAGGGTAACGTCGCCCAAGTCGCACCGCATCACCACGCTGACTTGTCCAACACTTCCACGAGAGTAAATTCAGGGGGCAATCCATAGGTTCGCAATCGGGAGTTGACTTCTTCCCGCGTCGCCAGCCCGGCTCTCGATCACCATTCCACCCCGCCAAGCCCATCTCACAGGATGCAGCCCCATCGCACTCTCCCCTGGGAGTGAGATCCGAGCCGGCAAACAGGACCACAGCCTCCCACTCCGCTGCCCATCCCCGTTAATCTCCCAAGCAAGGCGGCAGGGCGGGTCCAGCCCTGTGAAACCACACGCCATGCAGCCAAGCGGCAGCATGGCTAGGTCCGAAAGGTTGACAACTAGCTCTCGCTTTGGTCAACTAATTGGCCGGTCACTGCATTCATTCCCAACCACAACGCGTGATACTTATATGCTGCACGTCGCCGTTTGTTGGTGGCGGACAGCGAAAAGCCACCACCGGTACGAGGTGACACAGCAAAAGACGTCGCAGGCCCAGACAAACATCCCGACACATCACACAAAATCAAGAAAGAGCATGGATCCAACAAGTCTATATGCCGGTTGCGTACACAAACAAACACGGACTCAAAATTCGCTCCCCCGTATCACACAGCGTAGCAGGCGCGAACCCCATCCCACACAGACACGTGCGGTGCGGACGGTTCCCCGACCTAATCACCCCCTAGCCTATCCCCTCCTCAAAACCCAATCCTCCAGTCCGCACCAATCCTCACACCCACCTTCTTGACCACCGCAAACGCCGCCTTGCCCTTCACAGCAGGCGTAAACTCCACCTTAGCCTCCCAAGTCTTGCCCTCACTCTCAACCGCAACAGTCTTCTTCCCGGCCCAGCTCGCCGGCACGCCGACAATGACGATGCGATCGACACCAACAGAGCGCATCTGCTGCATCCAGGGACCCTCGGCCACGGCGGCGGGGTCACGGCCCTCGGCATCGACCGAGACGAGGCTGCCGGCGCGGCCGTCAAAGACGAAGCGGCGGTGGATGTACTGGCCGTGCTGGAAGTCGAACGAGTCGCCGTCGTCGACGTACAGGTCGCCCTCGGCGGCGGGGGCCTTGGCGTCGCGGGGAACGGTCACGACAAGCGTGTAGTCGTCCCAGCGCATGAGCTGCGTCGATCGGCGGGGGACGTCGCGCCGCGCAAAGATGTGCCCGCCGCGCATCAGGAGCGGGATCTTCTCTAGGGGCGCCTCCAGCGTGGTGCTCTTGCCCTTGGTGGTGGGGGTGATGTCGTAGGTGAAGTAGTCGTAGTAGACCTCGGCGTCAGGGATCCAGATGTCGACCGAGGTCTTGCCCTCCTCGGTGACGGGCTTGACGAGCAGGCCCGTGTTGCCGACGAAGAACTGGTCGTCGAGGGCGAGGCCGGCCTCTTCAGACGGGTGCGTGTAAAACATGGGCTTGACGACGGGCGTGCCGTCGAGGTGAGCCTGCCGGAAGGCCGTGTACCACGACGGCAGCAGGCTGTAGCGCAGGCGGAGTGCGCCCCCGATGATGGTCGTGTAGGGCTCACCGGCAAGGTACGGCTCACGCCGGCGCGCGTCAATGTGCGCGTGCGCGCGGAAGAAGGGGTAGAAGGCACCGGCTTGGTACCATCGCGTCAGCAGCTCCTTCCCGGGGTTGCCGAAGAAGCCACCGACGTCGGCGCCCGAAAAGGGGAACCCGGCGATGCCTTGGCTGAGGACCATGGGGATCGACGCCTTGAGGTGACCCCATTCGGCTTGGTTGTCGCCCGTCCACATGGCGCCGACGCGCTGCGAGCCGGCGAAGAACGAGCGGGTCAGCACGAACGGGCGGCGGAGCTCGCCGGGCTTCCGGGTGATGAGGGCATGGTAGGTGGCGTTCTGGAACGTCATGCCGTTCAGGTTGTGCACGTCACGGTGCTCCCAGTTTCCGATGTGGAGGTTGTCCTTGGGCATGGTTGTCTCGGGCCCGTTGAAGACAGAAGGCTCGTTCATGTCGTTCCAAATCCACGTGTTCTCCATGGTACCCTTGAATGTGTCGTACTTGAAGAGCGACGACCACCACTCGCGCGCAGCAGGGCTGAACGCGTCAATCCAGTGCGACGAACCGGGCCAGCACCAGCCCTCGAAGAGGTTGCCCTCCTTGTTCATGACGCCGAACTCCTTAGACTTCAACTCGGCCACGACAGGGTACTTGTCGACGTTCTTGATGTGCGGGTCAATAATGGTCACCAGCTTCCGGCCATGGGTGTCCAGCTGCTTGCCCATACCGATGGGATCTGCGAACATGTGCTTGTCCCAGGTGAAATACTTCTTCTCGTCGGTGTACTCGATATCGAGCCAGATAACGTCGTAGGGCAGCTTGGCCTTGTCCATCTTGCGATCCACATCCTTGACATCGTCGTCCGAGACGTAGTTCCAGCGGCACTGGTGGTAGCCAAGAGAGAACTCCTGGGGCATAGCCGTGGTGCCGGTGAGCTCCCCGTACTTGGCGGTCAAGTCCTTGGGCGTAGGGCCAAGCAAGACAAACACGTCCAGCAGGCCGCTCTCGGAAAACCAGTGCGTGTGCGTGTTGGTATTTGACTTGCTGCCCAGAGAAAGAGGATTCTTGGCGTCTTTGCCCTTGGTGATGTCAACCCACGTCTCAGCGGCGTTCAACCAAAAGACGCCAACGCTGGAATCCTTGCGGTGGGCCTGCATGAAGGGAATGGAGCCGTAGAGGGTCATGGGGCTGTCGAGGATGTACTCGAAAACATCGGCGTTGTACATCCTGTACGGCTCCTCGTAGTTGCCCTCGCCGCCGCGGGTCTGCTTGAGCGAAAGGGAGCTAGCGTGTGACGGGATGCCGTAGACATGCTCGTACCCAACGAACGAGATGTCAAGCCCAACACTCTCCGGGCCGCGGGGCTTGGTGTCGGTGTTTCCACCAAAAGTCTCATCCCACCACGTAGATTCATCCTCGCCCTTGGGCTCCTCCTCCTTTGTCTCCTCTGCCTTGTCCTCCTCGCCCTCCTTCTTTTCGGGTTCGGGCTTTTCAATCTTTGGCCTCCAGTGCTCAACGTTCAAAAGGCCCTGGTCGTTGAACTTGATCTGGCTGGCGCCATCCCGCTTGAAGTCGATGCTGAACGGAGAAAGCTTGATGATGGCCTCGAACTTGGAAGCCGGGCCGTACTTGACGGTAAGCTGCGTCTTGTCCTGAAAATCGACCTTGGCGGCCTTGTCAAGAGTCAGTCCTCCAACAATCGCCCATTGTTCCGCCTCGTTATAACGCTCTTTCCTCGTCTTGCTGTCATGGCGCAACTCAATCTCCCCCTTTTGGCGCTTCTCCTCGTCGACTGTGACCCGCGCCGTCCCGGATTCGAGGAAGGATACGGTGATAGGCAGCCGGACGGTCTCGCCGCTGTCATTGATGGTCTTCACAATTACGGCCTGGTACTGGCCATTATTGAAAGACCCGGAGTCGACCGCGATATTGTATGGCGATTCCCATGAGCCCGAGCCGAGGGCGTGGTCTGCGAATGCCCGGTTACGCTTGCAGAAGCCGGACTGGTGACACTTTTTAAAGTCGTGCTCCTTGACAGCGACTATACTTGTCAATTGCATCGTCCGATGCCACGGTGGCCATTTAGGGACTTACCTGCAGGGGCAAATGCTGCCGAAAGCGCAGATAGCAGGCCGAGGTAGGCCGTCCATCTCGACGACAGCGGCCCGGCGACGTGCATCTTCAACTCGCGCCCGCCTGTGGCTGTGGACTGGGGAATACCAAAACAAACAAAAACAAAAGCAAAAAGAGAAAACACGTCTATATCACTGTCGTGTTCATCGAGAGACCTCCAGGGCCGTAGAGGTACTCAATGGCTGGCTGGCTGGCTGACAACCAATGTTTGTTTCAAAGCATCCGCTTTCCACAAGAGGATCAGTGGGAGCTGTCTCATCTCCATTGAAAGCTGGCACCCTAGATTGGCCACCTTGCACCGGCCGTGAGCCCCGCAACGTACCGAATTCACCCCTGCTCAGCGGCACTCTTTTATCCGGTCAATGCCCCTCTAAGTGAATATTCTGTAACCCGCAACAGATTATCGAGTCGTTTGAGGAACAATACCCGAACGCGAAAACAGTATCACAAAGTTTTGTTGTAGGATGGGTGGTAACGACGAGAGGTTTGGGGTCCCTAAGCTGCCGCACCCGCAAGTTGGGAAAGCAAATCCTGATTTGATAGTTAAGAGGGGTTGCAGCATCGTTTAATACCGTATTGCACCTTGTACCTGGCAGAATTGAATACAGTTAGTTACCCAGGTAACTCTCCTCGCGCTGGCAAAAACATGTGCTGGAAGAAGGCATCGTGGTTCGCTAAGAGCCGCCAAAAGTACCTTTAGGACTGGACAACGCCCAATCTACTGATCTAGGCCAACGTTTTCCTCGGAGACTTGTAATTTGTCCATTGCGAAGATCAATTGAGTTCTGATTACCTTCAAACACAATCTGCAGCTCACCGATCCATTCAACAACTCACTCGTTCTCAACTAGACGGTCGTAGACACGTCGGCACTGCATCGTTGCTGTATATCAGGCCGTCCGAGGGTAGCCGCAGAGATGGAGGTGGAGCAACAGATGAGAGAGAGGAGAAAGGGTCCGGTTGGGCAGACAGATGAACAGCAGCAGAAGGGAAGAGATCGGGCGCCAGCTCGGGGCTTCTCGTCCAGCTTCATGTATGGATACCTAACCCTAGGCCTGGTCCTCTGCATGTTCGTTTATTTTTTCCGCAACCCCACACTGGAGCTCCTCTGTGGCCGGCCTTCTTGTCCGACCCTCCTCCCGCAACAAAATCCTCCGCTCTCCCTCTCTTCGCAACATCCACAAGCTCAACCCATTTCCAAACCAACTTCAAACACCCCCAAACCAGCCACCATGTCGACTTCCGAGCGGACGTAAGTTTCCCTGGCTGTTTATTCCCAACCCCCGTCGTTCGCGAGCTTTCTGCCCCCGGATTACCCCGCCATCCACTCTCTCGACCCTTTTACCCCGCCATTTGAGTCGACCATGGACTAACACGGCGACAGCTTCATTGCCATCAAGCCCGATGGCGTCCAGGTATGCAGCCCTCGGCTCGGAAGTCTTCAGACAATTTATCTAACATTTTCTTAGCGTGGGCTGGTCGGCAACATCATCGGCCGCTTCGAGACCCGCGGGTAAGAAAGCTTGGGTACTGTGTCTGGCCCGTCAAGCTGTGCTAACTCGGAAATACAGCTTCAAGCTCGTTGCCCTGAAGCTTGTCTCCCCCGGCAAGGAGCACCTCGAGAAGCACTGTACGATTTTATCCCCCTCTTCGGCCACTGACGCAGCACACTAATGGCTCCAGACTCCGACCTGTCGTCCAAGCCTTTCTTCAAGGACCTTGTCACCTGTAGGTTGCCCCATACGCTCTCCCGATCTCCCGACCTTCGTCGTGCTGACTCTCTCCATAGACATGAACAGCGGCCCCATTGTCGCTATGGTTTGGGAGGGCCTTGACGCCGTCAAGACTGGCCGCGGTATGGACCCACCTCTCCTCTCCCAACACCTCCGAAACCAAAGCTAACATCACCACTCACAGCCATGCTCGGTGCCACCAACCCCCTTTCCTCGGCCCCCGGTACCATCCGCGGCGACCTGTGCCTGCAAATGGGCCGCAACGTCTGCCACGGCTCCGACAGCGTCGAGAGCGCCAACAAGGAGATTGCTCTGTGGTTCAAGGACGAGGACCTCATCCAATGGGACTCTGCCCAGAAGGCCTGGATCTACGAGTAAACTGGGACCATCATAAGAACTGGTTATGGAAGCGAGGATAGAGGTTTCGGTTTCTTTTCGAAGACGACCTATTCCTGAATTCGTTAATCCAATACAGAACAAAAAAAGCCCCTGTGAAGGCCAGCTCTGTTCAAGCGAAACACGGTGTGATGAATGTGCCTTGGTTTCGGGAGACTTGAATGCATTACGAAGTCTACGGCCTGCCCTCCTCATCGTCGGTCAATGGTTGTTACGGATCGCCACGACCTCTTGGTGGTGCTTTAAACATCTTTATGGAGTCTCGGAAAACTTACGAAGTGTGGAACTTCTAACTAACTACCAGGAGCCAGCTGTTTGAGAGAAAGCGTATTGAGGAAGGAAGAAGGAAGTTTTGAAACTGGGTGTTCAATCACACCCCGCGAAACTGGAGGTTGTCTATTCCAAATAGTAAGGATGAGGAAAGTGCGCAGCACCAAATCAAATCCACAAACATGGAAGGGGACTCGGGAGGCTTTAGAGGTTTTCTTTTCTTTTCTCTCGTAACCTACGCCGCCAATCCTCACATCTTGTCTCCTAATTCCACCATTTTTTGCCCTCGGATACACCCGTTCTTTTCGCATCGGTCAACCGGACAAAACCAGCGGCAGCCTTCAGTTTAACTTCTGTTTCGTATTCTATTTTCACGATCTACGCATCGAGCGGACATCATGGAGTCGAACGAAAGCGACGTAACCGAGGCAGCAACTCCGAAGATTGCAGCCGCCTCTTATCCACCAAAATATGAATATCTTCAGAACCTTGCCATTAATCGCTACGGCTGGTCCATACCAATCCCTGCGGGCATCGATAAATACAACTTGACCTATCTAACTGCTGAAACTTGGGGCTCAGTTGATTCGTGGCAGTGGGGATCCGAGGAGCTGATGGAGGCCGGAATAGTGCCTTGGAAGACTCCGTTTTCCTCAACCGTCAAGGAACCCTAGGTGGCTCCGAAGAGTGCCAGGAAATGTCACTGTGTCCTCGTCGGCTTCGGGGTAACGGACCTCAGTCCGGAACATTACAAGCAGTCTCCAGCGCCACCTGTTCGACGGCAGTAGGCGAGCCACGAACCGGGCCACAAAGGGCCGTGGATATGCGACCCTGTTCCCATCCCCGACCTTGCATCAAAAAAAGTCTTCATGGCGGTGGCAAAGGTTGTCAAGTCCAGGCCTTGGAGAGCAAATATCTTTGCTTGGCTAGGCCCCAGCAACGGATTGGGTAAACTCTATAGAATCCGGAACGCGGATTGCTTCTATCTCCCGATATTCCGTATGCAGCCACCATACATCAACTCTAGGAGCGACAGTCGGGTTCGGGCCTGGAGTAACGAAATCATGAATGCTTGCTATATGCCAATAGACCCAATGGACGTTCCGGCATCGCCACCTCAGACCCAAAGTTTGAAAACGCCAACCTGGACAACCCAAACCCAGGATTTACATTCAGAGTCTCAACGCAACGACTTAGTTCGGCCGGCACCCTCGACCAACGAAGCAACCAATAGTCACGGATGTGACGACCCGTTTGGCTGGGAGACGTTTCTCAATGCGGGAGGCCAAGAAGACGTGTTCGACTAGGAGACGTTTCTCGACGGGATTGGCCAAGATGGTCTTGGACAAACAAACGACAGCATGCACCAAGACATGTTCGACTGTGAAGCGTTTCTCAAGAATCAAGGGGCTCTTGAACTATAGAACTACTCCAAGGACAAAGACTCGTCCAACTTCGGGGATTTGGTTTGGTTTGATATCTAGAAGATCCCTCTGAGAAGGGGAGAGGGCCAGGGGTAGCAGATGTGAGCGATAACCTGGAAGAAACTGCTCAGCATCAGTCCTCATAACAAGAACAGGAAAAGTCAAAGAGCGAATCCGATTTTTTTTTAACTTACTATTATCGTAATTGTAACCTAGCGAGCAATAACTACCTTAATTCTAATCGTTGTCCGGCTCCCAACTACATAAAGTCACTTCTGCTAAACAGGGTTTGGTAAAGGCAGGTGATTTGCCTATACCGCTACGATGGAAGGCGAATTTCAGATGTGCAGCACCCTCAATGGTGAACTGCATATTGGTCAACAATAGAGATACACACAATGTCTTTCCCATTAATTCCTAACGAGAAACACCGCCCGATGGGAAAGGACCCAAGTTACGGTAGCTTCTGGCATTGGCCGTGGTCCTACAGCCCTGGTTTTAGTCTTTCCAATGCCCAAGATGTTGCAGATCCAAACCAGGGAAAATTAAGACAAGCCATTTAAGGGTCATGCCCTCTTGAATCTTTCCTAGAGAAATCCCAAACGGGGGCTAGCTGGTGAGCTTTTGCCGAGTGTTCTGACTGTAATAGATAGTATTATTATCAATTTTCCCTTTCTTTTCTTTTATCGGCGGCCTATTTTACCATTTTTTGTATCCTCTTGGGCCTCCCTATCAGCGTGAATTGTGACCTCTGTTTAGTTATGGACGATCAATCTCGTTGACTCAATTCAGGGGCTTCCTCCAAGCTCAGGGGCCCAGTTGTTAAGGGCAACGAGTATGTGGTCCGTGCATCGAGTCGCCAACCCCACCAATCTCGCGATGCCTGCCGGTGGTGCCGGGCCCGCCAGCTCTGTACTGTACATATATAAAACACGACCATCACAGCTATCACGAACTCCGGCGCAAACCACAGCCCTCCGCACGCAATTCAGCTTTCTAAAACCCTCACTCGGCACTTTCGCCACAACGCTACATCCGTCAACATGCCCCCCCTCCCACCCCTCCCACTCCAATTCCCATCCCTCGCGGCGCGCATCCTCCGCCGTCCCACGCCGCCGCGCCAACCACCACTCCGCAACCCCCTCCCCCCCAAAACCAGAACAACAAAACGCCACCCTTACAGCAGCAGCAGCACCAACCCCCCAGCACCACCACCACCCCCAAACCCAAACCCAAACCCAACCCACCAAAAAACCACCCGCCTCCACCGCATCCTCACCCGCCTGCCCCGCCCCCTGCAGCACTACACCGCCCGGCTGCGCGGCGCCCCCGCAACGCACGTCGTCGCCTTCCTGCTGCTGCACGAGCTGACCGCCGTGGTGCCGCTGGCGGGGCTGTTTGCGCTGTTCCACTACACGGAGCAGGTGCCGGTGGCGTGGATGGTGGCGCACTATGGGGGGTATGTGCGGGAGGGGGTGGGAAGGTTTGAGAGGTGGTTTTGGAGGAGGGGGTGGTTTGGGTTTGGGGATGCAGGCGATGCAGGGGTGACGGATGGGGAGGGTGGCCAGGGGGAGGGTGAGGGGGAGGGTGGAGGGAAGGGGGAGGGTGAGGGAGAGGGTGGAGGGAAGGGGGTGGTGGGCGCTGATGCGGTGTTGTCGCGGTGGGAGGCGGATCCGAAGTATCGTATTCTTGTGGAGGTTGGGCTGGCGTACGCGTTGACCAAGGTGCTGTTGCCGGTCCGGATTGTGGCGAGCGTGTGGGCGACGCCGTGGTTTGCTGGGGTGCTGGGGCGGTTGAGGAGGGTTGTGAGGAGGGGGTGATTCCGTGTTGGGGGAATGTGTTTTAGAGGTTGGACTGTAGCAGTAAACTCGGGCCCTGGGATAGGCGATTTTAGAGGTAGTTGGTGGTAGGTCCGGGGAAACTTGAAGCCAGGAGGGCGCAACTCATGCGAATTGCATCCCTCGCTTCCACCACTCCATTAGACCTCTGCTCTCCATGGCGGCCGCAAATTCCTTGACAGACTCGACTTCAAACAGACCACTCCGTTCTTCTGGCTCAACTACCTTCGACTCTATCGGCGCAGGTTTTGATACCAGCTGAAAGTCTTTATAGCGGAGTCTCTGCATTGAAGTCAATTGGCAGCCTCCTCATGTTGTGTTTTGGCAACTTACTTGGACGGTCTCTACCCATCCCTTCACACTTTCCTCGCCGCCCTTGCAGTACATGATGCCCGGACAACCTCCGCTCCGAAGAAGAGCATAGCAGTCGAATTTGCCTGCTGCCTTGCGGAGATGAGCAACCTTCTTTCGGGAGGTGATGTGGTGGGTCCGAATTAAAGCGTGAAAGAGTGTCATGGTTAGCTCATGGTTGGCTAAGACTCAACAATGATGAACCAGCAAAAATACAGAGGAAAAAGAGTGACAGTGCCATATCCCTCATGTCACACGGTCTGTGTCAGGAGAGCGAGTTTGGCACTGACTCCAGGTAGCACAACATTGGAGGAAAATAGGAGTTTTGTAAGTGGATCATACCAATAACAGCAAAAAGACATCACGAAGCTGGGTTTTTAGAATGAATTCTGGTTAACGACAGAGTAGCACCCTTTAGCCAAAAAAGCTAAGGGGAGGTGCCACCAAAACCTTCGCCTAGAGGAACGAAAAGGAAGCCATTCGAAAGACCAAGGTTTACTTTTTATTTGATTCGGTTTATTTGACTTAATTTTTTTCACTCGGTTTCCTTTAAGTCTTTTTTTTTCTTTACATTTTTTCTTTTTACTTGTTTCTCTTCTTTGATTTCTTGCTCCTTTTTCTAGTTCGGCTTCTTTTGGTCAAAGGGAGAGGAGCTCACGGATAAGTCACAGTATGTCAGTGACCTCATACGCACGGTGTACACCCCCTCACGTGCCCACGTGTTGCAATGCCTCTCGTGCCAAGTCCTTTGATCGGATCCAACGCGACTTGATCACGCCTGCCTTGAGCGAATTCATTGCACAGCCTGGCAAGTGAATTGGCCTCAAGGCCTCACTTGGCTCCTATCAGATGTTGCTCCTTCAGCTGAGAGGTCTGCTGCCTGCGAGCAGCCCCCCAATATAACGTTGACAGACACACTGACTCCTCAACAACACTCAATGCCCATCTTTGTTCTTCCGACTTCGACACATGGTGGCAGGAAATCATGCCCTTTTCCTTTTCCTATGTTTGCGACCTACTGCAACGCCTTGAAGATAATCGGCTTGCTCGATCAGGGTTGAGAAGCAACACAGTCATTATCCAGGAATGGTTCAGAGGACACCACGGGTTTCTCCACCGTGACGACCACAAGAGCGCCCCTCTCCTCTCTGCCCTCCTACCGGAGAAAAGGACTGACAGGGTCTACTTTATCCGAGAGAAGAAGCTCCAGGCCATCATCGGCCGTGCGCTCGGCCTGGGCCGGTCTCGTATCGCAGAACTGGGAAGATGGACCAACCCTGAGGCTGCCGTCGATTTGGCCGACTGCGTTGAAGGGATCCTGAAGCAGACGGTGAGTGGCTTCTTCAGCTGGCTGTTTATTTGGAATACATCAGATTGACAAGTTTCAGCCAAATCCCATTTCACCCACAGACAGGTCTGTGACGGTTGAGGAGATTGATGGGCTCCTCCATAGCATAGCTGCTGCTTGCCGTTTCAGCTCACCTTCTGTGCGTAGCTCAGCCGAAAACGGGCCCGCTGACCAGGAGCTCTCCCTCGGAGAGCTTTACCGGCGATTGTCGGCCAGAGACGCAAAATGGCTTACCAGGCTGCTCCTGAAGAACTACGAACCTGTTGTTCTCGACCAGCGAGTCGTCTGCGCAGGCTACCACCCTCTACTTCCCACTATTCTGAAAGTCCAAGATGACTTGGCTGTTGCTGGACGTATCCTCGACACCCTCAAGTTGGACCGGACTGTCACTGGCAAAAGCGAGTTGGCAGAGTATCTGAAGCCTACCCTAGGAGTCAAAATTGGTCGCCAGATGTGGATGAAAGGGAGGAGCATCAAACATTGCTTGTCCATGGTCCAGGGCCGGGTCAGTTGCGAGGAGAAGATGGACGGAGAATATTGCCAGATCCACATCGATCTCAGCAAAGGCCGGGACTGTATCCAGATCTTCTCAAAGAGTGGCAAAGACAGCACAAGGGACCGCATGGCCCTGCATGAGTACGTTGCATCTAATTTCATATGAGCTTGGGTGTACTGACGGGCGCAGCTCAATTCGAAAGTCGTTGCAGCTGGGGCAGCCGTCTTGCCCCTTGAGATCCGGTTGCATTCTAGAGGGTGAGCTTGTGGTTTATAGTGACAAGCACCACAAGGTCCTGGGTTTCCACAAGATCAGGAAACATGTCTCTCGGTCTGGTTCTTTCCTAGGGACCGACAAGGACTCGCAGGCTCACCCCTGGGAGCATCTCATGATCGTCTACTACGACCTGCTCATGGTAGACAACGAATCGCTTCTTGCTGTCAAGCACTCGGAGAGGTTCCAACGTCTCAAAAACGTTATCACCCAAGTCCCCGGCCGATCCTCGTTGGTGAAGCGAGAGTTCATTGACTGTGGCAGGCCGTCTGCCGTCTCAGACCTACGACGGGTCTTTGCCAAGTGCATCACTGCACGAGGAGAGGGTCTTGTTCTCAAAGCGGATGACCCCTATTTTGACTTTAACACCCGGTGGCAACCCTACCACTGCTGTCCGATAAAGCTCAAGAAGGAGTACATTGGGCATTTTGGGGACATTGGCGACTTTGCGGTTGTCGGAGCTCGCTTTGATGCGGCAAAGGCCCGCACATACAGCATCCCGGGCCTCAAATGGACGCACTTCTATGTGGGTTGCTTGGAGAATAAAGACGAGGTGCAGCGGTTTGGGAAGCAGCCAGTGTTTGTCGTCACAAATGTTGTCGAGCTGAATGCAAAACAGCTTGCTGCGTTTGTCTCATCTGTGAACCCGGAGTCTATCAGGCCAGAGGAAAACAGGGCTATCTCTCTGCGAATCGAGCCCGGGGTGGATTGCGGAAAGCGCCCCTCGTTTATTTTTCCCACACCCCCGGTGTTCGATCTTTGCTGTTTTTCTTTTGACAAAGAAGGCAACACTGGTTTCTGGAGCCCAAGATTCCCAACAGTCAGCAAGATTCACTGCGACCGAACTTATCACGACACCATCTCCTTTGAAGAACTCCAAGAGATGGCGGCGAACGAACGAAAATCACCTCCTCCGGAAGACAGCCAAGAGCTTCTGGGCTGGATTGCAGCTCTGGAGAACTCGGAATCTAGACGCACTGGCGACACAGCAAGCCAGGCAACCATTTCCACTGTCGCCGAGTCTGTGGCCCAGTCACCCCAACCGCCGAACCCCGGTAACCAGCAGTGTTTAGCTGCTCAGAATATAACAACAGAGGAGATGGCCGATTTTACCAGACAGTCCCAAAGCGCGCACGTCGGTGTGCAGCTGACCTCAACGACATCCACTGTCGCCCAAGAACCCGAGCCGACAGCTTCGGCCCGAACCGACGACCACTCCACAGCCACGCTAGGCCGAAAGAGACCCCTTGAGCTGTCGCCGCAGAGCAGCATCCCCGAGCGGAGCAAGATCCAGCGCTGCTCCAGCGGCCGGGTAGCCTCCGTGGCCCCTCTGCCGGGCAACGACGGGGCGGCTCTCTCGGCGAGCCAGCCGGAGCCCTCCCTGGGCACCCAAATGAGCCCGTCGCGCCGCGGTGCCGCAGCGGTGCTACCCATGCTGCGGCCGTCACCGCATGCCGAGGCGGCCGTGCCTTCGAGCTCCGCCCGGCGCACCAGGCCAACACGGGCAGCAGGAGGGAAGAGCCCCCGCCTTCCCTACAGGCATCGCTCTCGTTCCACGAGGCCAGACTGCAGTCGTTTGCTGCCCGGTCCCTTGCGACGCTGGCGGGGAGCGGTCCTGCGGGAGCCCAGGAGGCAGGCCCCCAGCCGTCCGAGCAGCCCGCCGACCAGCCCAACCAACCCGCCCAACCCGACCAGTCCACCGACCAGGCTGTCAACAACGCCACCGTCGAGACGGCATCTGCCAGGTGCCAGTTCCTCCCCGACACTTGCAAGTTCCCGACCTACTCGATCCTCGTCTCGCCCTGCGTCGCCGGCTTCCCTTGGGTCACCGACAACCTGCTCGGCAGCCACGGCGTGTCCGAGTTCCTGCGCGACCCCAAGGAGTGGCTCGACACCCAACCCGGCGGCACGTCGACCCCCGCGCCCTCCGGCACCGGCAGCTCCGGCGGTCCGCGCCGCCGAGAGAAGATCATCATCGTCGACCGCCGCCGCAAGAAGGCCACGGTCGATTTCTTGCTCTCGGTCGAGGCGGCTGGGCTGAAGCGCCGCAACGGCGAACGTGAGTATGTGCCTGCCTATGACTGGCGCGTGCTGGAGGAGATTTATGTCGAGGAGAAGAAGCTCCATGCCAACGGTCAGGCGCCTGGTTATCAGTTTGATCTAAACCATGCGTCGAGCATTTGGAGGAAGTTCTGGGTTGGGCTGGCTTAGGTGGGAAGGGCATGTGGTGGTTGAGGATGGGGTTTGACCCTAACCCTGAATCTGTGTACGGTGATGGATGGGGCGAAGCTTCGGCCAGAACCGGCTTGCTTGGCACCCTGGAGTGGTCGCGTGGGGGCGGATAGCCGCGGGGCATGAATTTCTGTTCTGCTTATCACACCCATCCTCAACTCAGGCGCTCACCATTATTTTGCAACTGGAAGGGCATCTAGAGCGTGTCTTCCCCAGGCAGTTTAGGCCGAGCTACTAGTGTGCCAATTCATATCGGACGTGAGCCGGAAGGGAGGAGTCAGAAGCAAGCCATCCTGGGTGTAATAGTTCTGACATTCTCATCGCAATTGACCATTTGTTCGCTCTCCATCTACACGTTGGAGCGGCCTCGCGTAAGGATGGAATATGACCATCGCCGACTGTTTATGACTTGCATAGATATAGGAGTGCCCTTAAATGTCCACGAGATCATCTCTCCTCCCCCCTCGATCCAGGCCTACGCCGATCTAGGCCTCCCCCCCGGCGACCATGTCGATTCCCGCGGGGGGCCGCAGGTGGGTCCGGCACGACTCTGACTATCACACTCGCCGACTCGGAGCTGAGCCGATGACTTTTTTTTCTCATTGACCAAACAGGTTCCTGAGTCACTCTCCCTTCTTTGTCTTTTTTTGTTGTGGTCGTTCTCTACAAATTGTCAAACCCACTAAGCGGTGACCCTGAGACAATTTTTCGACTTCCCGGCGAGACCCGTGCCACAAACGCTCTCTTTCAAAATGGCTTCGGAGGCCAAGATGGACGACATGGCCCCGGGGAGCGACCCGGAACGGAACTCGGTTCATGGTGCCGCTGCTGATGCCCCCGCCGGCCGATGGGCCCGCTCCCGGGATCTCCTCCACAAGCTCATCACGCTTGGCCGCGTTGAGGTCCGGGGTATCACACCGATCCCGGTCAAGGAGCGGACCGTGGAGAGGACGGTGAATATCTTTACGCTGTGGTGGTCTATGAATACGAATATTCTAGGGTGAGTAGAATTGGGTGTGTGGGTCAAACGGGGTGTAGTGGTTAACAGTCGACAGCATCACCTTCGGCATGCTTGCCCCGGTTTATGGGCTCAATCTGAGGGACAGCGCACTGATCATCCTGTTTTTTACGCTGTTGACCACTCTCCTTCCGGCATACTTGTGCACTCTGGGTCCCAAGATTGGTATGCGGCAGATGCTGCAAGCGCGGTACAGTTTTGGGTAGGTTGGCCCTTCACCCGCTGGCCACACCATTGACAAGCCGTTAATACTCCTCAGTCGCTACCTCGTCACGATCCCCGTCCTGCTCAACCTGGCAACCCTCACAGGCTTCTGCGTCATCATGGCCGTCATCGGCGGGCAGTGTCTCTCGTCCGTGGCCGACGGCAACCTCAGCGTGACGGTAGGCATCGTGATCACCGCCATCCTGACGCTGGGTATCTCCTTCTGCGGGTACACGGTGCTGCACATGTACGAGCGCTACGCCTGGATCCCCGCCATCATCTCCATCATCGTCGCCGTCGGCACCGGCGGCAAGGAGCTGCGCAACCAGGTCACCTACAACACGCCCCCGCCCGCCTCGTCCGTGCTGTCGTACGGCATGATCGTCGCCTCCTACATGGTGCCGTGAGCGTGTCTGTCGTCGGATTTACGACCTACATGAAGCCGGGATACCTCTTCGTATGTCGGGCTCTTAAAACTTCAATACTTTGAATCCCCCTTCCTTGTCCTATACTGCGTCTCACGCATCACAGCAAACAAACCCCCCAA